TAAGCGCCTCCTGCGCAGTTAATCTGATCTGAGGGTTTCTTTTTTTTTTCATGTGAAGCTGGTGTTAAACATGCTGTCTCTCAGTAGATAATACTCATAGTAGATAAATAGGCTTAGATTGGTCTCCATGGTAGCGGCCAATGATAAACTGGGTGCTGGGTCTCACACAGCTGGACCATATACAATTTTCATTCTATAGGCTTCCTTTAATTGAAAAAAAGTATAATTAAAGGCAATCTGTGCTTTTTCAATATAATATGTTTACGTGAACGTGATCTGGTTTGATGTAACTGTGATCAATTCAGTAGAAATATTTGATCAATAGGTATTAACTCTGAAAAACGTGGTTTGAAAGCAGCTTCAATTTAAATCCAGAGTTCTCCACCGCAGTGCTTCTTTTCTCCCACAAGATACCCTCAGTTTGATGGCTAGAATCATTGTGCCCACTTCTTCTGAGCCTAGGTTGCCCTGGACCCACCCCCAGTCTGTGATTTAACAGTGAAAGCAGAAGAACCACAGTGATGAGCTCATCTCTCTGTCGCTCTGCTCTCTCTCTTGCTATCAGCAGGCTCCTTGTCATCACATAAACTGGCTCCTTGTGCTGCTTTTTCCTCTTACACTCCAGCCCTGCTGTACAGGAACTCAAGACGCTGATACCTGGTCAGATTCAGGTACTCACACTGCTTGTATTTAACGAAATCATTTTTATGATGTGTTATGATTACAGAGCTACATTAGTGTGCGGCCATTATATCTGCCTAAAGTTCAGCTTTAAATTATATATGTGCTGTATAGTCCTTAGTTCTTAACTGGTGGGTTGTGACCCAAAAGTGGGTCGCCAGACCGTGTTTATTGGGTCGCCGCATGCCTTCCACTTTTCTAGGTAAGAGGCTGCTCTGCCTCCTTTTTGCGCAGCATTGTCAGTTCTCATGCCAAGCAGCCATTCAAAATATGCTGCACAGCACCGAGTGTCAGCTTGAGGTGGGGTGGGGCTATGGCCGCGAGGAGGCTTCATCCATCCATACATGCATTGCTTACAGCTCCCTCGCGTGTCCTGTAGGTGGTGCCTGGACCAGAGTGGCATCACATTCTGGCTCCCGGCACCTCTACGGGCACGCATGGGTGCTGTACAAGCAATGCGCATATGGATGGAGCTTCATTACAGCATAGCAGCCCACAATGGACCCCAGGCTGAGGATCCACTCCAGTTGTGGTAAGGTAGGGAGACTGGTTGGACCTTAAAAATAAATCAAAAATAAAATTTTGTGTGTGGTTGTGTATGTATTTCAGTGTTTTTGAAGGCCCATTTACACTAGTACAGTGCGATAATTGCATAGTACCGTGCGATTAACTCACTGTACCATGCAATCGCACCTACCATGCATTCTGGTGTGTTGCTTTGCCATTCATTTGAATGGTACCCCAAAGGCACCTCCCACCCACAGTTCGTACGCCCACACTGAAATGCGCAGTACCCTAATGCAGTGCGATTTGGGTCACAACTTAATGACAAGGTCAAATGTGGGTCCTGAGAACCACTGCTGTATATGGTACATAGTGCAACCATATTTTTCTTAAAGTGACATTAAAGTCATACCACCCTACCAAGGACGAGGCATGTTAAGATGGCGCAGTTTGGCTATCTGGCTCCTTTGGGACCCATATACGCTAGTTTGTGTCCTCCCGTTACCCTGAGGAGAACTATGGGGAAAAACACTGACCCCATAGTTCTCCTTTAAATCATGCTACTTGATTCGATCATCTTCTTCTTTCCAGTAGTTTTTAGATGTCCCTCCAGTGCTCGGTGCAGGTCCCAAATCCAGCGCTGGCTTCTCTGTCCTCCTCTCTTCTGACGTCCCATGGAGTCTGTGCGGGTGCACGCTGCTCCATAGACTTACCTTTTGTCTCTCCTCGTCTCCCGGCCGAACATCTGAAGTGCGCATGGTTCTCAACTGGTGGGTCACGACCCAAAAGCAGGTCACATCTCTGTGTTCAATGGGTCGCCATGTGCCTTCCACTGAGCTAGGTGAGAGGCTCCTGTAGCGGTGCCTGGACCAGAGTCCCCAAGATCCATTGCAGCCGCCCGAGACTCTTCAGATGTTCGAACTGGAGCGCGCAGCGAAGACACAGGTAAGTTTAAACTCTTTTTAAAAGTTTTTTTTATCTTTTATGTTTTTGCATATATCTACTGCTTGCTAGCAGTAGATATATACAAAAACCGCTAAGGGTTTAATAACCCTTTAATACAGTGTTATTTCACAGTGCAACTCCGAATGTAATCTCTGATTCACACATATGTGTTGCAGTAATGCACAGTAAAACACACAGGTGTTGTGCATTGCTGTTTATTTTGAATGGCACCCCACTGCGCTGGTACAGTAGCGGGCAATGCTGTGCATTGGCAAGATAAAGGTTTCAATCAATCCCTATCCAAACGTAGAAAAAAAAAGTTTGGGCTTTAGATACTCTTTATTACAATAACAAGCATGCTTGTACTTCTCAGAGGTCCGATATTGTTCTATGTACAATCCTTGTTTTATTGATTGCATGTAATAATCTACTTTTTTGAGGTTGTGGATTTGGGGTTCTTGGGGTTTTCATGAGCTGTAAGCCATAATCATCACAATTATGACAAATCACGGCTTGAATTATCTTGCTTTGCATGTAATGAGTCTATCTCATATATTAGTTTCACCTTTTAAGTTGCATTAGTGAAATAAATGAACTTTGCACGATATTCTAATTATTCGAGTTTCACCTGTATGTGCTGTTTGAGGGTGAACTGGCTCGGGCTGGCCTCCCACGTAGTGGGGCTATACTCGGCCGCTCGTCTCAACACATTGTTCCCTTCTCATTTTGTTTTTGTGTGTTGTTAGTCATTTATATTCACCATAAAATGCCTTAAGGGCAGGGACATGTACCTGACTTGATCTTACAACTTGTTAACATGTTTTAAATATGTTCCTCACTGTCTATGATTCAAATATCGTGTGAGACCATGTGGCCTCCGCATGTTCTCCTTTGCTATGTACCCCACCCTTTTTGTCCACAAATGAAGAATTAAAAAATAAAAATAAAAAATGACAATATGGTAAATATCATGATAATAATTTATAATACACGGTCGCTGACAATACACTATACTCCAGTCTCCCTGTATGGTGTATCTAAACCCCAAAATAAAAAAAGTGATACATTGGAACTTACCAACCCTTAAATGTGGTGGCTGCATTAGTTTTCTTTTCTTTGGCCTTTTTCCCTTTTATTTTCACCTGGCGATCTGATCACTTCCTGTCTAAAGGTAACCATACACCTTGCGATTATCATTAGATTTTTTTTGTGCCTTCATCGAACCGGCGTATGATTTCCGCTCGAATACCCCATCATGCACAGACCAATGTCGTTTTGATTATCGTTTGTTAGCAATACTAACTCACCGAATTTTGTCATTCGACAGAACGGATTTTTGTTTGCGCATGTGCAGTATTCATGTTGCAATTTTTTTGGGGGGATGAAAACGCCACTAATCCATCGATTTTCGTTCGATTCGAAAAAAGTTTTCCAGCCTGACAACTGATGAAGGAAATTCGGCCAGGAGTACTGTAATTGTGATCATTCACTTCCCATCAACTGCCCGATTATCGTATGAAAGACCATTCGTGGACAATTTCAGAGCGATAATCGATAGGTGTATGGGCACCTATATGGCGACTCAGGGATTCCAACCTGGAATAAGTCATTTTAGGGAGGTGCCCTTCTCATTTCAGGGAGGTGCCCTCTGTCCCCACCCGCGGAGGGGGGGGGGGCCTTGGTGCAACAACAAGGAAGAGAGCACCCCCCTGAAATGATGGCAGATAGCAAAGAAGCTAATGCTTCCCTTGCTATATGCTGTTTTTTTTAGTATTCTGACAGCTGCTGCCGTCAGAATATTAAAAAAAAACTAGCATAGGAATAAATAGCTAGATTGCTATTGGCTGTTTCAATTTGCACTAGACAATAGCAAACTGACTATTGTACCCACCACTGCTGCTGTCAGTCAGTAAAGGAGGATCTGATCTAGAAGTTCAGGTCCACCTCTGCTGATTGACAGCACCCGTGGGCGGGTGCAATAGCTAGTCTGCTATTTCAATTTGCAAAAGCCAATAGCAATCTAGCTATTCGTTCCTATGCCATTTTTATGTTTTTTTTCTGACTGACGGTGGCCGGCGGCCCCAATGTAAAAAAAAAAACAGAGCACAGAAAGGTTTACTCTGCTAGATAAAGCAGAGTAAACCTTTCAGGGAGAAAATGTTTCTCTCCCGGGTGTCCGGGAGCCGCTATCTAATAGCAGGAGACTCCCAGAACATTCGGGAATGTTGAGATGTCTCTGACTCCATTCTTTAGGGGAGCGATGGAACCCCCTTGGACAGCACCATTGTGACCCTGTGGGGAAGGTGGTGTTAGATGGACTAGCAGATTTAAATGGACTTGACTAACAAATGAAATCTGAACTCCATTTTCAGCAGTTACAACAACAGTTTGTTTTTCCTCTTGGCATAAAGGTTTTACATAAATGAATAAAAGCGGACCATTGTAAGCATCCCTGTCAGTGTTAAATGGTTTGTATCAACCCTCTAACTTTTTCTGGACAGCTTAGTCTGGTAAAGGAAGATGAAAAATAAGAGACTACTGACCAGATCACCAGATGAAACTTAAGAAAAACTAAAAAAAGAAAATTAAATGCAACCACCACATCTAGGAATTGGTAAGCTGCAATATGAAATATTTGCTTTTGGGTTTAGATACGCTTTACGTTTCTTTGTACTTCTACTAAAGGAACTCGGCAGCATTCTATTTTAAGGGTGAGCCCTGCCGATGTAGTGTTGCATCACTGATAATCTGTTATTAGTGTCTGTCTGTGTATATGACCTGCCCCAGACAGCCTGCTCCCTGCCTACCGCTAATCTGACTCAAGTGCTCTTTCAACTGACTCACTCTGCATTACCCTGTCACCACTGAAAGCTCTCACAATGCTACTCTGACAGCTCAGCCCAATAGAGACTGACTGCAGCCACAAGGGGTCCCCGGCTGCTCTGCCTGCCGATTGTGACTTCAACTCCACAACACCTTATTAGACTCCGGAGATGCTGCTTTATTTTATCTTGGATCCCATTCCATCTCTTGCCACATCATGAGCATGAGGAACTGACACCACTACCAAAGCTGCACCGGGGGGAGGTTGTGCCCGGCCAGCCTCTGCCACCGTGCCAACTCTGAGATCAATACCAATTTTGGAAGGAGCAGACAAAACCAAAACACTCTATTAGCTTCTTCTTGTTTTTTTTTTTTTTCCTCCCCATCATCACTGATCTGATTGTTGTATCACAAGTAAGTTGCTTATTTTCATTACAGACTAGTCAGCAGGACCGATTGGTTCAAAACTGTTGAAAATGTTTACTTTTACGTGTATTCTTGCGTCATAAGCTGGCCATAGATTTAAAGGAAATCTGTCATATGGGATACATGATCATCTGCCATGCTTATTGTTTGCCAGTTTCCTTGGAGTCACCGACTTGGAATGAGGATGCTGAGGCAGTTATCTGACTTTCCTACAAGCTGGTTCTCTGACTTTCCTGCATTCTTGCTCCTGATCGGGGACTCAGACTATTGAAGCCAAAATGTTAACCTAACAGCCAGTAAATTAGCATTTTCAGAAGGAGAATAGTGGCAGCCCCTGTATTTATTTCATGTCAGGTTTATTTTATAGTATTGTCAGGAAACAAGTTTACAGTCTGATGGTATCTCCCCTATGGTCTACGTGCACACTGGTCTATGTGCTGAGCAGTTTTATTCTGGAGGACCGGTAGGCCGCCATAGACTTTCACCTAGAGTAATCAGTTAGGGTGATCTGCTGGTACCCAGAGATGTCTAAATCCGTGGTTCTCAACTGGTGGGTCTTCCACTGAGCTAGGTGAGAGGCTCCTCAGCCTTCCCCTAGCACAGCACTGTCAGTTCTCATGCAGAGCAGCCATTCAAAATATGTAGTCCAGCGCCAAATGTCAGCTTGAGATGGGGTGGAATGGGGGTATGGCTACAAGGGAGCTCCATCCATATGTGCATTGCATAGAGCTCCATTCTGTGACCTGTAGAGGTACCTGGACCAGAGTGGCATCACATTCTGGCACCCAGCACCTCTACAGGGCGCACGAGGGAGCTGTGCAAGCAATGCACATATGGATGGATGATATGTCATTGCATTGCGTTGCATTGCCATTGTCCACCCGCACCGGAACATGCGGTGCTGCAATGCCGTGTGTTTCACTGTGGTGCAACTTGGGTTGCAATTAATGACCAAGGACAAATGTGGGTCATGAGGTTACACAGATTGAGAACCACTGGTCTAGATCATCTATCAAAGTGAAAACACCAGTTTTGAGTGGGCAGATCCTTTAACCCCTTCATGACTGAGGCCTTTTTTTTTTTTTTTCATTTTTTGCACCCATGTTATATTCCACATTTTAGGCCTGAAAATGACTTAAAACCCCCCAACATTATATATTTTCTGAATGCCAAGACCCTATACAATATAATGGTGGTAGTTGCAAATTTTTATCTTGCGCAATATTAGCGCAATTCCTTATTAAATGAAATGCCCCAAAACACAACAAAATACCAATTTTTTACATTAAATATAAAATATGAGGTTACAACGAGTAAAACGATACCCAACATGCCCAGTTTACAAATTGCGAGAGAGGCAACGGACCTCGGGAAGCACGACGGGGTTGTCCGGCGGGGGGGCGGCCCCTTCTTCGGGACAGTCGGCTTTACAAGTTTAAACAGACTCAGTCACGTCAGTCACGAAGGGGTTAAATATGCATGCTTATTGCTTGCCATGCAGCTGAGTTATCAGTAGCCTGATGCCAGCTTGTCTGAATGTTGCATCTGTCACACAAGATGCATAGCTCCCGATTCGCCCTCATTTAAACAGACTGTCCCTCTTTAGGAACCAAATCCATCTGTCCCCCTTTCTTCTCCAGTTGTCCCCCTCTTTTGATCTGATGTATAGACCTCTATAACATGTATTACCGGTATTTAAATACTGAATGCATTATACAGTAAACTCCCCGTTATCCGGCATCCACGGGGATTGGTCGATTCCGGATAAATGTAGTTTCTGGTTGATTAACACATGCCATACCCCATACTATATCATATCATAACATTTAACTCTGTATTGACTTCATATTAATATTGAAATGCAGCGATTAAAAGCAAATTAAGACAAATAGACACACAATCCTATACATGGCGCAGATCAGCAGAACAATGAACACACAGGATTTTTGGTTTTTTTGCCCACGCACTTACAGGCATCATGTTCCCAAACAGCTCTAACTCTCTATGCTCAGCTTCCCTGAACTTCCTGTCCATTACAATATCAAAAGGAATAGAACATATCCCAGCAGCTGTCCATCCACTAGCTTGGAGAAGAGAGAACTGGGGAGCAGGGAGGAGGAGAGTGTCTTGCCTTGCTGTGTCTGTCTATTTGTGGAGACACACAACTTACTAGCACACACAAGGTTGGCTCCATAGGACCCTGCAAGAGAAAGGAGTCACCCTAAACAGGAAGTCAGGACCAGTGCACAGGGGACCAGCTGATTCTGCAGGAAACTAAGGGGGTATTCACAAAGGAGCCGAATGATCCAGCCGTAGCTTCGGCTGATCCTTCGGCTCTCTTCGGCCGCAGGAGCCCTTCGGTTCAGTCGAACCGAAAGGCTGCTGTACGGGCTATTCACTATAGGGGCCGAGCGACTCAGCTGAGCCAAAGGCATGTGCTTCGGCTCGACTGAACCAAAGTGTCAGCTTAAACAGGGCGAACGGCCTGCCGAAGGGCTGGCCGTAAGCCCCGCAAATGACAGCTGGGCGATGCCAGCCGTGATCTCACAGCTGGCTCTGCCCAGTTGTAATGACAGATCAGTGTCCCCAAATTACTTGGGGACACTGATCTGTTTTTAAACATTAACAATTGGGCGGAGCTGGCCGTGAGGTCATGGCCGGCTCCGCCCAGTTGTAATTCATTGGCCGGGACCTGCTACCCAATAGGAAACCGTTTTTATTTTAAATTTTAAAAAAATCTTTATTCATTTTTTTAGATTTAATATTCATTTACATTTTAAAAAATATTTTTGCAACTTCTTTTTTTTTAAACTTTTGTCACTGTTTTGTATTCTGCTCTTTACCACGGAGGTACTGAACAGAATAGCCGAGAAGAAAGCTGCTCGGCGGCATTTGGCTATTCACTCACTGCCGTTCAGCCCCATGTGCAACTTGCTCGGTGGATGTCATTCTGATGAAGTTGTCATTGCCCTAGGTAATGCCCACTTGTGACGCTGAGGCTCTATAGGAAGTGAATGTACATGTGACGCTGAGGCTCTATAACTGAAAGAACCAACATCTAATGAATGAAGGGGCAGGCAAGGGACAGTCAGGCTGGGGAGGAAAGATTTGGATGATGCTGGACATCCTTCAGCCAGCAAATGAGGTGGGCTCTATCTGACTTGCTGCAGCTTCTAATGCACATTGTGAGGAGCTCTCAGTGTTCACTGAAATCAAGATAAGTAATTTCAGTCCAGGAGAGGAGCCGGTATAACTGTGCAATAGTGAAGCCGGAGTTCAGCTTTAAGCCAAGTCAATTTTTGTGCAGGGTATAAAAAAGTATCTCATTCCAAATCCCTACAGATAGATGTTCCGTCGCCATCTTACAGTACCGATATCTGGGTGTCAATACCCAATTATTTGCAATTCACCTCCTGACATCCAATCCTGCGTTGCGATATTTACAGATGCATTGGCATTGGCACTGTGCTCAGCGAATAGTTGGCGAACAGGCCGTGGAATCTTCTCGGCAAACATCTGCCGGTGTGTAGCCGGAGTTGGTAAATTTCCATCTTAAATAAAAAAGTCAGAAGTGTATTTTTCTGAGATCTCCCAGAACTTTGTGTCCTCTGACAGCCAGAGCGGAAGATGATCAGCGCTTTGTTTGTATTGCAGTTGGAAATAGGTCAATCTGTATAGATGGTGTAATCTGCTTGTTGTATTGTGTTCAACACATTGATTTTCATAAAGAGGAAACAAGGATGAGATAGAGACTCAGTGCCAACGCCAAAGATACCAAATCATTCCTATTTATTTACTGGAATAATACAATCCCAACATTTCCCAACACCCAATCCAGCTACCTGACAAAGAGGACCCAACTCAAACCTTCTCCTAATATTTCTATCGAACGCAGGGTGATCTCTCTCTCTCTCTCTGTATGTCTCTCTCTCTCTGTATGTCTCTCTCTCTCTCTGTATCTCTCTCTGTATGTCTCTCTCTCTCTCTCTCTGTATCTCTCTCTCTCTCTGTATCTCTCTCTCTCTTTATCTCTCTCTCTCTCTCTCTGTATCTCTCTCTCTCTGTATCTCTCTCTCTCTCTCTCTCTGTCTCTCTCTCTCTTTCT